ACACACACACACACACACACACACACACACACACACACACACATATATATATATTTCATTTACTTATTTGGTTTCTTTACAGCCTGATTCCAGCCTCCTCCTTTTCTTTTCAGAGTCCTACCCTCATGCCCCCTCCCCCAACCCTCTTCTCCTTTTTCTCAGAGAATAGGAGACCCCCCCCAGGCAGTATCCAGCCACCCTGGCACCTCAAGTTGCATTAGAACTAAGCACATCCTCTCCACTGGAGCCTGATGAGGCACCGGCTAAAATATATTTAACTGTGCTTTCTAATAAAAGAATTTAAATTGTAGTTAGTTTGTTAATTTTAATACTTTAGTTTCTAATCCATGTATGTAAATTGGAACAATATAAATACCAAAAAAGAACATGACACTGATGAAGTAATTAAACAGTGTGGAAAACACTGTCGTCTCTATCTATGGGATTCAGCATCTTTTGCTTCCTTGTATTTTTTTTTTTTTTACATATATAGGTATGTCTGTATGTTTGGTGAGCATAGGAATCCACACCCTTAACTCTTGTGTCTACCTCTTCATTTCTTTTTGTGAGCAGCCATCACCTTCATGGATACAGGCCTAACCATGAACTCAGGAAAGGAAGGAATGGCCAGATTGTGTACAGTACCAGTCACACAGGCTAGCTGCCCTGAGTGGATCTGGTTGATAACGGTTCACTACCTGTGCTCTGGCACAATGTTCAGCTTTCTGTAGGAGTTACATAGTTTCTAAATTGGTATATACAATTTCATTTCTCCTTTGTTTTACAAATTACTTTGTAACTTTCTCAGTTTTGGATTACAGGTTGGATAATTTTGTGTTGACTTTGCTCTTGGTAATACTAATGTGGAAGATGGGGAAAGAATTACGTTTTTGTTGAACAGCTACTATGTTCCAGATACACCAACCTTTTTTATTGTTGTTATTTGTTTAAATAGGTGATGTGACAGAGGTGAAGCAGGTTAAAAAGTTAAAAAGTTATTCAAGGTCTCAGTAGATCAAGATTTAGCTGTTTATCTGTAAAGCTTACTTCCTTTTTCCTTTTGCCTCCCAATAATATTGACTATTTCATATAATGCGATTACCGCTCTTGTTATGTAAACATCCAGCTAAAAGGCTAACGAGTCTGCACAGTCTTGCAGTTCACTTCCCTCCGGGCATAAGCCACAGTTTTTATTGGACATGATCATTGTATGCTAGAGACAAGGAAATAGATTTGGATCGTATGGTTGTTTCCTCTTAGTATTATCCTTGCCTTTTATTAGAGAAATCATCTTGTCCTTGAAACTTGCTGAGCTCATTTTCAAATTGGTAAGACAGAGACATAGATTTTCTCAGGGTCATCTGGCTCTTAGGACATCCAGTGATAAAGCATCATGAGTATGAAACCTTAAAAGGTGAAGAGCTATAACCTATGAGCCCAGTGCATGGATCTGATAACTAGAAATTCTCACTGTCTTAAAATCATGCACAATGTCACGATGTCTCTTTGCTTTGTACACATGACATAAGGTAAAGGAAGAGAAAGGCCTCCGTTTTCTTATTAGAAAATGATCAAATTGCAGAAATTTTTGTACTCCCCCATGACAATTTCTTGCAGTTAGTGCCACTGTTTTAATGTTGTCATTATGTAGCAAATACTGAATTTACTACTTTTACACTTTCTTCAGCATCAGGGCATGCTGTGATTGATTAGTCTCTAATTCTCTCCATTCAGTTGCAAGTTTACAATCTTTCCATAAAATGGTATTTTTTAATCTAACAATCTTTAGGTAGTTGACAAATAAACTAGAGAATAATAAAAGCATATTTTATGTTAGAAAAAATGTTAGTCAAGGATTCATTGAAGTTACTTCACAATTTATAGAAAAAGAAATCATTGTTTGAACTTTTTAAGTATATCGTTTTATTCTTGCCACTCACAAATTGAAACTAAAACATTCTTTACATGTTTGTTAAATCTTGGAGGAAGAAATCAGAACTTAAGAATTAAGGAAATGAAAACTTAAACCCTAAGACACAAACTCCATGAAGCCAAATTTAATTCCTGTTTCTTTCTTTTGGAAATGAAATGTGACTCACCATTTTGTCCACGTCAGTAGCTTAGGCATTAGTGTTTCAGAGAAGACTACAAGGACATCCTTACATGAAGTATTGCACGGCTGGCTTCAGTTTTGTTGGGGTTGTGGCCTTCATGCTCTGGATTTGTTTTCTTTCTTGAACATTTTAGTTATTGGACTTCCTTTGCTCTGAGGATTGCATCATAACCCAGCTGTACTTGTCCAGTTTACAGTATCAGATAACTCATTTTAACCCTTCCTGTGCTAACGCACACTGCTATCCTGCAGTGAGTAGCTTTACAGTTTTCTTAAAATAGGAGTTTCCTAATTCCTTGTACTTGAACCCACAGAAGAAAAGCATGTTCATTACTTTGTATCGAATATAGGAAAAGTCCAGTCTCACATATAAAGTGTCCCATTCAATAAAAACACTTTAGGAGGTTGAAAGCACAAAAAGCCATTTTACCTTGGAATTACAGTCATTTACTATATCCTGAACTGGATGGAATTTTCCAACTTACCAATTCTTCCAGTCTCCACAGTCCCTGCAGATGAGATTGGATCAGCAACTGAGTCTAACATCTGACTGGCACTGAAGGAAGTGTTCCTCGCTTTTTGCCTTCGCTGTTCATGTTGACAAGTGGGAAATGCTGCCTTAGCTCCCAAACCAAAACATTTAAAGTACTCTCTGAAAGGCTGACATCACGCCAAATTCTTGAGCATCAGACTTCCACTAGCTTTGGGAGGCCAGCTCTAATTTGTGCTTGTATAAGTTGGATCTGGTCAAGGCCTGCCCAAGGGTAAACAGTGTGAAAAGGGTGTGTGGAATGGGAGAAGAACCCAGCTGGTAGGAGGATGGATTATTCCCATGTCTAGCCATGACCTTTTGTGTGAAGCTGTAGTAATAATAGCTACAATAACAGTGGTCTCTGTTTGGAAGCGTTTTCAAGTTTTGATTCACATGGTTTTAACTAACTAAGTCTTTTTTTTTTTTTCTGGAAAGCTGCGGATTTATCTGGGAGTAGAACATACCTGTGTGTGTCTGCTGTAGTGTGTGAGGGCTGCCCTTGGGGTTTCCATAGGAGCCTTGACCCGTACTGGCATTGTAGCAACAGATGATCAGAGAGTGGTTAAGAGGATGCCAGTCTCTTTTGGGGGAACACAGATGCCCTGTATGGATGATGGATGCTGGATGGATGCTGACTGTACCTTGTCTTCACCAATCTTTAACGCTGCACCAGGACTTTTGTCCTTCCTGCAGTTTATCAATACAACTCCAGTCTGATTTTAGACAGCACTATTTCCATCTTGGTTTGTTTCTTGAACTAGTTTCTGAGTATTGAGCAAACTGTTTCCGTGGGTTTTTCCTCCTCAGTTGTACTCTGGATAAACACAGTAACACCACATCTCTCAGTGTGCTCATGTTTGTCCTTGTGACCTTGTCGGGGCTGCTTCAAAGGCATCCAGCGTTGGGCCTGCCTCGCTTCCTTTGCTCTTTCTTAAATTTCTCATTTGTTACTTCACCATCTTTCTCTCCTGACCTCTGTCTTAGGCAAAAGTAAAAGTTCCTCAAACTCTTCCTTATCAGCCCAGCAGCTATCAAAATGTTCTTCTCACTCCTTTTGCAGATCCATTGAAAAAAATAAAAAAAAAGGTCCCCGTGGACCATCTTAACTTCCCCTCTGCACTGTAATCTCCTTTCCTGTGACTTCTTTGAAACTGCCCAAGTCCTTCCTCTCTGCCCATGGCTCAGTCAGCCAATTACTTTAGAAGATACTTGCTTTAAAGCAACATTTCTCTTTTTAATTGCGGAAATGCACACAAAATGTCCCGTCTTGACCTGTTCTGGTTTTTGAAATGGTCCTGTTATGTATTTCTGGCCCACCTTGGTATTCCTCTATGAATACCTCAGCAAGGCAGAATCAGAGCTTCCGGTCCTTAGGTCTTTCTACTCCTGGATGGTGATGTTCAAAGGTGTGTCTCCCACACCTGGCCCTTGAATTTTTATTTTTATTTTTTTAATAGGATCTTTTTGAGCTGAGGCCAAATGCCTGATTCTTCTGCCTCAGCCTCTGAGGCTTGAGGATGAGCTCTGAGGTCTAGGCCACCACATTCACTCTCTTGACCATTTCTCAGGGCATGACTCAGTGACATCCGTTTTACTCGCGTTGTCATGCAACCGTTACCACCATCGTTTTCACAACTCTGTTCATCTTGTAAAACCAAAACTACTACAACTACATAACTGTCCCTCAGTCTCTGGAAACTGCCATTCTGCCTTCTGTCTGCATGGATTTGACTGCTCCACGTACTCTAGATGTACAATCTCTTGGCCTTTTCAAGGCTGACTTATTTCGCTTAGTATATTATGATTTTGGTTCATCATGCTGTAGCATATAGAAGAACCACATTTTCCAGGCTGGATAATTTTGCATCATGTGTGCATACTACTTTTTTTTGTTGTTGTTCTCCATAGACAACTGGAGATTGCTGTGTTTCCTGAGGCCATGTGGGATTACAAATACTCAAGATCTGCATTTAAGTGCTTTCAGGCACAGTAATCTTTAAATATTAAATGGGAAATCCTACAAATTATAATTTATAATTTATAAGTGGGATTTATATCATTCTGAGTATATTACCTTAAAAGTTAAGTGCTTAATCTCATCCTAGGCAAACAAACAAAAGACAGAATCTGTCTTTTAAATGACGTTGAGATGATGCCATGACTCTAATAAGCTTGCCTCTGATTAGTCCTGAGTATTTCCTGCCTCTGTAGTCATGCCAGTCCAGATACAGCTGCACCACCATGTAGGAAGTTTCCCTGTCTCTCAGCTCACCTCCCCACACAGGGTGACTGTGTCTAAGCAACATCCAGAAGCAGCTGTTTATCTCTCCTTCCATCCAGCTAAAATTTGCTAGCTACCTTCTTGCATGCTAGCTACTGCAGGGGCCTTGGATGCCACCACAGCTCTGGAAGAACTGTTCCTTGTTGTTTTCTCCTAACTAGATCCTGGGCTGTGAGGGCAGGCATGATCAGTCAGTGACACTTCGATCTCTGTGATTAAACACAGAGATTAAGACTGTTGGTTTCCATTTTCTCTTCCATGTGTTACTGGTAGCATGTGTTTTTTGAGTGATACGTCTGCACATTTGTGAAAGCCCCAGGGAGAGTGGATGGCCTCACTTATTTCTGAAGACTGCTAGATCTACAGTATAACACAAAACTGTTTTGTTTTTTTTTTTTTTATAAATACTTGTGTGAGGTGCATCGGTAGCTTTGTTCACCTGAAATCCACTGACTACTAGACTTTGCCCCAATAGGTAGAAATAGGAGCTTGGATTGTGTGGCTCAAAGTTAGTTCACTTTTATTGCATTAGAATAGAGATGCATTACTAGGAAGAAGCTAGCCCTGCATGAACATGCCTGGAGCAAAATGAGGGCTGAGAATTTCTGTTCATAATTGTTTCCTGATTTTTAAACTGAAGGTAAAACTGATAGGGTGTGAGACCATAATCTATAAACTTTATAAATTCAAAGCTACGTAACTAAGGAATCACAATGACTGGGGATAGGGCATGAACTCTGTCCAGTGAGATAATGTCATTGTCTGGGATTGAAGATCCAATGTCACATAAAATTGGCTGCTTTAAATGAGCAGAGGTAGGGGTGTCCAGCCTTTGACACTACCACATGGCATGTCACCTACAAATACTGGACCTGAGGTGCATGCGGCCTGTAGGTGACAGGCTGGACATGCCTGGTAGAGAGTATATTCATTCCTACTACTGGTTTGGGGACCAACTCTTATTACTGTGTTTGACTTGGTCCAATTTGTATTTTTGTATTTAGTCATCACTGCACTAACTCCCATCCCAATAGACTCCCTTTTCACCGCCATTTTCAAGAGGTAGTAGAGCAGCTATATGAAGTATGCATTTCAGTATGAGTTAGGCCATGCTCCCTTTCCAAACACACCATGCTTCTGGCCACTTCTGGTCCTTGTACCCTTCACCTGAAAAAGGTCTATTCCTCACCTTTTGACATTTTGCGTATATGTGAAACCCAGCTCATAGCTTATAGAGCTTTCTCTTATGTTCCTTCTAGGAATGGAGGAAGGAAGGGGTTGCTTATTCTTATATTCTAATAGGGCTGCCCTTTGGGCTTTTTGTTGTTGTTGGTGGTGTTGCTGGTAATAGTTTGTTTGGTGTGCGTGTGTGTGACGCAGATAATAATGGTAGCCTCTGTTGGCTTAGGGGAAAGGTAGATCTGCTGATGCCTTCTCAGTCTGATTCATAAAGTCATTTGGTCATTCTGGTTGGGGGAGGAACAGCACCCATAGGCTGCAAAGACCGGCCTCCTGACCTTGGATCACTGTCCCTAGCTGAGAAAAGAAGTATTGGTCCAAGAAGGTAACTGGCACTTAACAGCTTATGACTTCATGTTTTCCTAGCGTAAGAAATTTTGCTTTCTCTTAATAAATCTCAAAATGTTGATCCAAGTCATGCATTAACGTCCTTTAGGAAGCCAAATAATTTGATGAAATTCAGAATGAAAATAGCAGATCATACTCTTTCACATCCTTGGTAGCCACTTGTTTCACTTTGCTGGCAACCTAGCTGAAATATTAGCTACATAAATATAGTTTGAGGCTCTGTATGGTTTATTTTGAGGCTTTTAATGGGGAAGGTGAGTATTCATCTTCTTTATTCTCTGTTACTTTATACTTTGTTGCATCCACTATTTTCAGGGACACTGGTATCCTTTGTCCACACTGCTAGAGCAGGGTCTAACAATTGTCTGGGGCTGAGGCTCTTGGCCTGGGGCTGAGGTTCCCAGTTGCCTCCCAGTGACCAGGTTAGCCTTGCCCAATGTGTATTGAGAGGACATCCCCCCCCTCTTCCAGGTGGCTGTCTCCCATTTAAATCAGTTATGGTATATAAATATGACAGTTTTGGGTATATTTGAAATCTTAGATGTTCCAAAATAATTAAAAAAAAAACTTTTTGACAAAACACAGCAAACTATTTCATGTGATTAAAAACCTCATGTGATAAGTTCTGGTCCAAACACTGCTTCACTAAATACACCGTGTAAAGTTACCTTCCAGCTCTGTGGGTAAGAAGTGATGGAAACTTAAT